GAGAGAGAGAGAGAGAGAGAGAGAGAGAGAGAGAGAGAGAGAGATTGCGGCAATGAATGCACGGGAGATATGGAGAAGGCCTTTGGACGGATTGTATAAAGACCTGACCAGTGGAACAGTCGGCTCCGGCCGTGAGCGTAGCAGTGGAAGATGTACTCACACGGTGAAAGGGTCGGTGCTCGCGATGGGCGTGAGGAGAGTGAAAGGAGGGGCGACGGACTGCAGAGTGCGCCGCCGCGGTCCTCGTCGGGACGTTGCAGGATCCCGATACCACTTCAAGACCGACTCGTTGCCCAATCAGATCATCACCACGTTTGGCGCGACTTCCTGTTTGTTGTCATCTCCTTGCTCTTCATTACCTGGGCTGGTTGGCGATACAGAGGCAAGGGGACGGCAAATCCGACGGCGGAGGCGGTCATTGCTCGAGATCCCGACAGAGCCCTGCACGTGGATCGCGGGCATGTCGAAAACGTGGGAGCGGAGATCCCTCTTCTCGGGATCCCTACCGAAGTTGACGAAGACGCGTGCAGCGTTCGCCAGGAGTCCCTCTTTTTGGGACAGAATGGGCGGCGGGATAAACGACCGGCCTGCGGCGACGTTTGTCGCTGCGCGCCACCATTGCTTGGTGGCGCGGGGTAGAAGATCCAACCATGCGCCGGGCGTGGAATGGCTCGAGAGGAGTAGCTGGTCTCCTGTCTCTGGAACCGGCAGAAACCCAGCTGTGGTGGGTGTTGAGTTAAGTGCAGCTAGGCGGGGTAAGCGGGGTGTGCATGTGCATGATCAGTCGAGAGGCGATCGTCCCCGACGACGCCACGTGTCGTCGCAGGCGATGAGCTGGCCCGGGGGAGAGGACTTCCTCTCCTCTCTTCGCGATATCGGAACGAGCGCAGAACATATCAGCAGCAGCAGCAGCTTGCTCGGCGACGACGTGGCCAGGGGTCTCGTCGTCGGGCAGAGGCTAAGAGACGCTACTGAGCTTCTCTGTCAGTTTGAGCACGGAATGCGGCTGACGACGGATCGAGGGCTGGAGGTGCTCGGTAATGGAATAAAGGAGTCGATCGATCTCTTGGCTTGTGAAGGGGCAAGTCTGCGACGGTCATTGGTCGCGGCTCTCGATGACGTCAACGATAATGGGCTGATCCACATGCCTGCTTACGCGATGCCAGACCTCGCCGCCGGTCCTCCTTCCACGTCACTCGCTGTCGCTCCTGTCGCCACTGCAGCCGCGGCGGTCGTGAGCTTCAGCGCTGCTTCCTCTTCCTCTTCTCCTTCTTCTTCTTCTTCTTCTTCAAGATTGAGACTTGGTGGTGGGGGTGGGGGGGGCGAAGAGATTGTTGAGAAAGGTCGGAGGCTGCCTTATAGCTATGACCCAGAGGCCATCGCCGCATACTTCAGGGGGTATCCACAGAAAGTGATTCTGAGGGCGACGTATATAGCACTTCGAGGGGCGAAGCTTGGATTACATCTGCTTCTGGACTGGCAGAGAGGTCAATTAGCCGAGATGGAGAAGGAACGAGCTCGGGAACTTCAACTGCTTATCACTCAGCTAGGTCCGACGGCTATAAAGATTGGCCAAGCTCTGAGCATCAGGCCAGATCTGCTGCCTGTGGGTTACTTGGAGGAATTGCAGAAGCTGCAAGATCGCGTGCCTCCCTTCTCGAGCGAGCAAGCCCGAGCGATCATTCAAGAGAGCCTGGGCCAGCCTGCATCGGAGATCTTCTCCGAGCTCACAGAGGAACCTGTGGCTGCAGCATCCCTCGGGCAGGTGTACAAAGGCCGTCTAAGAAAGAACGGGGACCTCGTTGCGCTGAAGGTGCAGAGACCTGGTGTGCTGGAAGACATTTCGCTGGACTTATTTCTTCTGCGCAATTTTGCGAAGATTGCCAAGTTCGTCTTGAGGTTGAATAGCGACACGGTGGCTCTGCTGGACACCTGGGCGACGCGGTTCTTCGACGAGCTGGACTATGTCCGAGAGGCTGCAAATGCTATGCGCTTTGCGGAGGACATGAAATCTCTGCCGCACATCATTGTCGCCGACGTGTACTTGGAGTACACCTCTCGCAAGGTGCTCACAACGAAGTGGATCGACGGCGAGAAGCTGTCAGAAAGCTCGGCAGATGATGTTGGGTCTTTGGTAGACAGTATGCTGTACTGCTACCTGACTCAGCTGCTGGAGACGGGGTTTCTACATGCCGACCCGCATCCAGGGAACCTGCTGCGCACACCAGAGGGCAACCTCTGCGTTCTGGACTTCGGTCTGATGACCGAGGTAACGGAGGATCAACGGTACACATTGATAGAGTACGTTTCCCATCTGCTCAACTCCGACTACGAGAAGGTAGCCGAGGACCTCGTGAGGCTTGGCTTTATTCCTGACCGGATCGACGACCCAGAGGAGGCTGCGAAGATCGCACCGGCTCTCAGTCGAGTGTTCGGTCAGCTTGTGCAGGGGGGGGGGTTCGCCAATGTCAACGTTGCCAAGCTCACATCGGATTTGGCGAAGATGTCAGAGGACTATGTCTTTGTGATTCCACCCTACTTTGCAATGATTCTGCGAGCCTTTGGGGTGCTTGAGGGCATTGGACTGGATGCAGACCCCAATTATGCAATTGTAAATGGGTGTTATCCCTACATATCAAAACGACTGCTTATAGATGACAGCCCAAGGGTTCGAGGAGCTTTGCAATACTTCCTTTACGCAGGGAAGGATCACATTAATGTGGATAGGTTGGAGAACCTGGCAGGAGGCCTTCAATCTTTCCGGACTTTGATGGACTCGGCACCGAAGGCTACGACGGCGGCCGCTGAAGGGGGGGGGGTTGACTCGGCCCTCTCAAGGCAAAGGAGAGGCTCCTCTGGAGTGGACCCTGTTGCTAGAGAAGCATTGATGCTGGTGTTTGCAAGGGAAGGGAGCTTCATCCAGGAGTTGCTGCTCAAAGAGCTGACCAGGACAATAGATGTGCTGTCAAGGGAAGCTTGTGCAGAGCTGTGGAGAATGGCGACGACCCGGCTGCTGCGGCTGCCGTTGCCTTTGCCGTTGCCGTGGTCGTTGTCTGGTCGGGGAGCGTCGTGGCCTCTCCCTTTGCCGGGAGTCGCAATGGGTGCGGTAATGATGGCCAGCCTGACGGAAGAAGACCGGAGGTCCATCGACACAGCGCGCAGAATCTGGGCCGTGGTGGAACCCCAGCTCTGGTCCCTGGTGGAACCTCAGCTCATGCAGCCTGTGAATGCACGTGGAGTGGCAGAGGCAGCCCAAGACATTGTTCCTCTTCTGTATGAACTGCTCCCTGGTTTCAGTGTCACGGTGCAACGGTTTACGATCATGCTCCTCCAGAGACTCACCTTGCGCCTAGCGGATGACCTCGACGGCCAGAATTCCATTGCAGAATGGGAAAGGCTGTACTCTTTGTCACCGCCAAGTAAACCAGCAGCACCGTCGATTTGACGATATGGATGCGCATCATCAACTTATGTCAAGCCAGAAAGAGTTCAAGAGGGGGAGGTCTGTATGACCCTTGCTGAAAAAGTATAGCTTTGTTTTGTTCACCGAGGAGGCCACCGTCTTCGCCCGAACCAAATAGAACGCCCGGTAATTGCTGCCGTATCTCGACTGACTTTAAGTCCCACCAAATGCAGCTATGATTACCGGGTGTTCTATTCCTCCGGTGTAGACGGTGGTAGTCAACTAACTACTCTGCAAAGCCACAACAGACCAAATCAGCTAGCTCACACACACACACACACACACACACACACACACACACACACACACACACACACACACGCACACACAAGCAGCGATGATACCAAATTTCCTCCCAGGTAGGTAGTCTTATCAGCACCATTAACACTGGCGGAGGTGCCTTCTTAAAAAAAAAAAAAGAAGACCACTGCTTGTGGGAGTGTCGTGAAGTGTTTTCACTTTAAGCTGCTACTGTAGTATCTTCTGAGTCTTGGCGCTGCCAAACCTCTGGCTTGTTGAAAGGTCTCGAGTGAAATGCACAAAATGCTGCTCAACCAAAAGGAGGAGGCCCAGGCTGTTCGACTTCGTCATCTCTCACCTTCATTGAGAGCAATACGGCGGTGTCCACGACTGCAGGCCAAGGCAGCATCCAGTTGCTGTTGAAGACTACTACCTGTTTGCATTGCTGCTGAGCAGCTTATGGTGGAGGCTGGTTGGCTGGCGACTGTGAGAACAGAGTGGAGGGGAATAAGTCAAAATAAACCTTGTTGACGTCCATGAACAAAAAAGGGTCGTCAATGGGGAAAGATTGGAAGGTTTGAGGAGTTTACGAGGCTGGACGGTGGCCCTTCGACGCCTACGTAGTACGTACTGAGCTAGGTAGAGCTGTTTGATAATAGGTTGTGGGAAACACATGTTGATTGCGATACTAAGCTTGCTGGTAAGAGTGCTGATACCGGCAGTCCCCCCTCCTTGTCACATCTCTTGACAAGTTAAGAGAACACCGCATGGTGACCTGCCTGACATTCAAATCTGGGACTTGGAAACACATGTACATGATTCCACATTTGGAGGATCGTTAGTTTTGATTGGCTGCCAGTGGATAAGCACACCAGAAACTACATCATCTGGTTCACGGCTGAAGACTGGAGATACCCTTCTCTGCTCAAAATGACAGTAGTACCACACTTTTCTGTCGGTAGGGTATGGAAGAAGACATTAGTGTCACTGAAGTGCGCGGAAGGAGTGTCCTTTAGCATCAAAAGGAGATCATGAGATCGCGTGAACATCTCTGCTGGTGGAGGCGGCTTGGTGCTCTTCCCGTGAGCACCATATGAACTTTATAAAGTAAGATAGATAAGATAGATAGATACCTTGGATCTTAGTGAAGCTGCCACGTGGACAAATTCAGACTCTGAAGAGTATGTGTTGTCATTGTGCCAAGTGAGGCCATTGGAAGAGTGCCAGCCCTGTCTCTTATACACATCTAGATGTGTATAAGAGACAGGTGTGTGTGTGTGTGTGTGTGTGTGTGTGTGTGTTTGTCTGCACATCTCAACAAACGGGTCTACATTCATGCGTGCGATTGAGAAGACTCAACAAGAGCAAAAAAAAGAAAAAGGAAAAAAAAGCTGTTTCTTTCTCGCGCTAACGATGCCTGGCTTACTCAACGCGTGAATGCAGACGTGTTTTTGGAGTTGTGCAGTTTTGAGAAGACAAGGCGATTTGTCTGCACATCCCGACAAACAGGTCCACATTCATGCGTGCCATTGAGAAGGCTCAACAAGTTTGAAAACAAAAAAAAAGCCGTTTCTTTCTCCCGCTGACAAAATGCCCCTTTTTTTTGGCACTGTAAAATCGCCCTCTGCAGCGGCGGGTGTCCTTCCTTTTCTCTTCGTCCGTAAACGGAGATATCAGGCAATCTACATGTGGGGATTTGCCAGCTAGCTCGCTCGATCGGCGCTAGCTTACGGGCCTACTCCTGGATCTGCCTGCGCGCGCGTGTGCGTGTGTCTGGTGTGTGTGTGTGTGTGTGTGTGTGTGTGTGTGCGAGAGAGAGAGAGAGAGAGAGAGAGAGAGAGAGAGAGAGAGAGAGAGAGAGAGAGAGAGAGNAAGGAGGGAGGTTGGGGAACCAGGGGAAGGGAATGGTGAGGTCTGAAAGGAGCAATGAGGGATTTTCCATTAGAGGGGAGAGAGAGAGAGGAGGAAGGGAGAAAATACTACAGGGGTGGTAAGTGAACTGGTTCAAAGAGAAAGGGAGGGGTGGGAGAGCCGGGAGAGAGGGGGAGAGGGGGGGAGAGGGGGGGAGAAGAGACGGAAAAGTTGCAGGGGGAGGGGACGGGAATGGTGTGATGGTTACCATGCAAATAGAGGGAAGAGAGAGGTGAATGGGAGAGAAGAAGAGGAAAGATTACAGGGGGAGTAAGGGAACTAGTTCAGAGATAAGGGTAGGAGAGGCCAGTCTCACATAAGGGACAGAAGATGTGTGGTTGGCTGCCCAGCATGGAGTAGACGGTATCCCCCCCGCCTTCTCTCCCGGTCCCCTCCCCCCCCTTCCTGTCCACTCTCTGCCCCTCTTGTCCCCCCTGCACTGCACCCCCCAACCCCTCGTCTTCCCCCGCCCTCCTCCCTTCCACAGTAGCAAGAGATCCGGCCGGCGGGAGGTGAAAGGATTCTCGCCAGACACGACGTGCAACTGAGAAGAGACCGGGACAGCAGGATGCGACAAACACACTACTTGATAACAGCAGCCACAACATGACCAGACCTGGATGTGCATGTCAGCTGAGGCAGAAGAAACCACAGTGCGGCATCAGTAGAGGCAGCAGCATGAGCACATCAACACAGCCAACAGCAGCTACGGAGTGTCAACAGTGACGATAACAACAGCTACAGCTGTCAACACAAAATAGATCAGACCTTAGGATGCTCCCAACAACAGCATAACTATATGTATAAAAGGAAAATTTGGCTCCTGTTTATGATGTAATGGGACACTGGACCCGGTTTCCAGCAGGTGCAGCTCCCCACCAATGGAACGGAGCCATCCAACAGCGGGACCAGTAGGGGGGGTGTCTGCCCGTATCAGCACTCCCCCTACCCCCCGCAGCCGATGTTACCCGGGAAAAAAAAAGAAAAAAAAGAGAAGACAGTATATGACTGAAAATGGGTGTGTAGATATTCAAAGGCGCCAAGTAAAACAGCCATTGGCATTGGAAACAAGGCAGTGGCAGAACGAGTCGTGAGTGCAGGTTCAGACCACAGCCGCTATGTGGCGACTCCCACCATTGCTACCTTCTTCCCCCAAATACAACGTACGGTAATTATAGCTGTATTTGGGGTATCTTTCAGTCTAAATACGGTTATAATGACCGTACGTTGTATTCGGGGGAAGAAGGTAGGTGAAAACAAACACTGCTTTGTTTTCCAACACTCTCCGTGATGACCATCGACATTCGTTGTCAGAACCACTGTTGAAAAAATTGTGTAGAACCTGAAGGCAGTGACGAATTCGAAGTGTGATGGTTTCGACCAATTCTATCTCCAGCTCTGGTCTCTATATTTTTCCCACAGACCAACTGAACACCCTCCATACCAGCCCAGGAAGGACTGGACCATGCAGTCGGCTGAAAGGCGAGCCATAAGACGCTTTCAAATGCGACAAGGTGACAGCAGTATTTCTTCTTTTTTTTTTCTTTGTTTTTTAAGCTCTAGCATTGTATTTGTTTATTTTAACTTGTGTTGCCGGATAGGACGTCTGGGATCCCCCTGACCGTCCGGGACTGTCGGATCGGACAACCGGCCGGCCAGCCGCCTGGCGCCCCCAGTCCAACCGGTGGGGAAAATAAGGGGGCGGGTGTGTTTTATTTTGTGGAGGCACGGGGGTGGGGTAGAGAGTTTTGTGCAGTAGGGGGAGGGGAGGTTTTCTTTTAAAAAAAAGGTTATAAGGGGCTCCAAATTCCAAAAAACAAAAAGGCCCAATCAGGGCCGTCAGATCTTCAAGATCGACGAATGGATTGGATTATTCGAATGGCATGCATGATTCTCTCTCTCTCTCTCTCTCTCTC